AGGCCCTACCCACCCCCCCCCCCCCCCTTATCAAAAGAGTCAAGGCAATCAATCAAGTTTGAAGGTCAAAATTGAATTGATTGCCTGTCGATAGCTTCATAATTGATTGATTGATTGAACTTGACAAGTTTACTTGCCTTACGGGGAGGGGAGTGCTGATCCGAAATAGGCTAGAAGGAAGGAGAGCAGCAACAAAGTAGCAGTGTAGTTATACATAGAGCGCAAGTGTGCGTGTGTGTGTTCATTATTTTACGCCGGTGCGTCCCTGTTGCTCAGGGCAAAGGGCGTCCAGCAGTAGCCTGTTGAACAAGAATAAATGTAAGAAAGTATGAGAAAACATGAAGCCAGAGGTCAAGTGAGTGTGTATGCGAGCGGAGAAGGTCACGCATTGCTAGAAAGGGGCAGATATCACCAACTCGTCTTTTAACCTCTAACTGCAGGTACCCTCTGCGAGCCTTCACCATGTGTCACGCTCCTATGGACAATTTCGGCCACGACGTTATGGTTGTCTCAACCTATGTGACCCTCGCCAACGTCAGGATGCAACCCGACCTTATCGTCGCCACCGAAGACGGCACCTACAACGACACCGACGCAATCGATTTCAAGCCTATCGATGACTGGGCCACAGGGCCGTTGCGTAACCATCTGACTCTTGTTTCCTTTTCAAGGCTTCGTGTTCCTGAACAGCTGCTTGTAATTCTGGGAGGTCGTTGTAAATCCCACTAGACTTGATGTATTCCGCCGATCTGACATCATACCACTTATCGAACACATTATCCATGCTCGTTTTCGCCAGTGCTCGAGCCATCCTCAGAATGCTGATCCGTCGTTGAGCGAGGTACTGGCTATATGTCGTTATTTCTTCGTCGCTAGACATGTCGTGTACTGCCCTGTCTGGCAGAGTGAGGCATCGGCCCCCATGGGGGTCTAATTTGATCATGCACACGAAGACCATGACATGGCACCCCATCAAATTCTCATAATCTGGCCCTGGGGCGCCAAATGCCACCAATGTCTCCACGATCCCGGCCGTGCGGTGTAAAGTCCCTTCCCATGTGCCTTTCGTGAGGATGTCCTCAAGGAGCCTCCCAGGATTGAGGGCTAAGTACAGCGCCAATACTACATCTGTCAGGTGGCTTTCAAGGAGACCAAGAAAGTCAGGGTAGGAGATGCTGTGCGGGTATATGGCGTCTCCGAACGGGATATAAAGAGCGAGAGAGCGATCGAAGCGGAGAAGGACGGTTATCTTTTGATGCTGCACGGACTCTCTATCCACCGCGAGCATGTCATCTCTATTGTACGTGAAAAGTCCATGGAGAGTGATGCGCGCTCTATTGGATCTCACCAGGCCGTTGTTCAGAAGCCAGTCGAGGCTATGCGCACTCACATTATTATTCTTCCATGCGTTGCGTAAAACACCCTGTAAATGCCAGCCATCATCAACAGCATTATCGCCTTTCGTTGGTAAGATGGACACAGCCGAGTTCAACGCTTCCAGCATACGTTGGATGCTACATGACCAAGATGAGGAGAGGTCCGGTTGCAAAGCTGCGTGTATGTACTCCAGTGGGCGGTCGAACCTTGTCAGTGAAGGTGCCGCTTTGAAAAGCTTTTCGATGAGACCCAGTCGACCTCGCTTAGCAGCGTCGCATACAACCTGAGGAAGGCATCGATCTTCATAACGAAGGCACTTCTCGACGGCGAAGATGATGGTTTCGTCGGCTGCTTCGTCACACAGCAATATGTCCAAAAGTTTGCGACCTTCGAATTTGCTGTTCGCATCATGGAGAATGGCATGTCGACGACTTTTGTCCTCCAACACAAAACGAAATATTGGTACATGACGGGCATAGTACAATGAGTGTCGAGCCGAGCCTGGCAAGAGGCACGGGGGGAAGGACCAGTAACAGGGCCAAGAATGTAAGTCGTCAAGCGTAGCTCCTCTTGAGATCAGCAATCGGACGGCATCGAGCTGGCCTGAAAGCATGCTCAGTCCAATCATAGGAATGTATCTTCGCTGATATGGCAATCTCCTGGTATAGTGGATTCCGTGGTCTGGATCTCGCTGACGCGTATACGCTCGCTCGCTCGTGTCCGCACGCTGACGGGGGTTCATCCCGAGATCCATGCATCTTCCCATGATGTCGAGACGTCCGGTTTCGCAGGCCCAGGCAAAGGCAGCACCATCTCCTCGTGCAACGGCGTTGGCTAGGAGGCGGACGCCAAGGACCGAGTTAAATCGATGCGAAGCCAACATCCAATTGAGATGATCTTTCGAAGCCAGGAAAGAAGAAGTAATGTGCAAAAGCTCGTTGGGAAGGTCTGCGATCGCCGGACCGCGCTTGGTGATAATCCTGACTGCGTCCATATTGTGGAGAACTCGGGCTTATGGGTGTTCGGATCGACCTGATGGTATGTTAAATGCGGGAGAGGACGTTCCTGGGGAGGCCTTGTGAATTGTAACCGAAATAGGAGAAAAGGCGTGACGTGTTTTGGTAAAACTGGAGCTCAACGTGAGTCCGAATGAATTTGTATGTGTAAATAAAGTAGAGAAGACTGACAGCTTAAGTTTTAAAGTGTGAAAAGTTTGGACGATCCACAAGAAAAAGAAACAAAGGTTTAGAATCTGGACCCTTTTGAAAATCAAAATCATGCATCAAGGTTCACAGAAAATTGTTTTGATTACGCAAGACTTTCTCTTATGGCTTGACAAGGTGTAAACCCCACAGGGTGATTAGCACGTGGAAAGCGAACTATTTGGAAACTCTTTATGTAAGATGGCTGAAGGCAGCCTTCCATTTGATCTTGCCTAGACTGGAAACATAGGCTAGTACGACTGCATTCATGGAGACTACGAGGACGACCATACGATCACGAGGACAATGAGGACGACAAGAACGAGGAAGACAACAGCATAAACGGCGGGAAAGTTTACGCCAACAATGAGGGGCGTTCAGTGTGACAGGAATAGTACAGAAAATATTGAGACTGAGCATTCCAATAGTAGAGGCTCGCCGCTGAGATCGGAATCCAATTGCAACGCCTGACACTAATATTTCTATAGTTTCTCCATATATGTCAAGTTTCAGCAGCAAGTAGGCGTCGGCATCCTGCTCAGCTTGCGTCAGTCATGCTGAGGTTCCAAAAAGCAGCAAAAAGGATATCTCTCCCGCCCGGAATCGAACCAGGGGCGCGTGCGCGACAAGCACGCATGTTACCACTACACCACGAGAGATGATTGTCTTGTTAATTGTTGAAAATGTTGGGATGGGAGAGGTGTATAAATCTTCGGTGTGGTGACTCATTGGTCTGAAGGTTAGGTGCCAGGCAGGTTCATGGCTGTCAAGGTTGCCTGATGCTTCACCCATGTCGCTTATCAGCGGGTGCCCTTGCTACCTCAAAATTCATCCCCAGACCTAGATGGGTTTTGAATGGTTATAAGTTCATCAGAAGAGAGCTGTCTCAAAACGCACTTCATCGGCTATGATTCCTCGGAGACGACCGATGATGGAATGCTTTCATCTCCACAAACGATTGCAGGCATGCTCTAGTCTCTGCCTTGACATACCAACTACGAGCTTTAAACACCAGAGATCTCTTAAATATTGAAATTCTCACTTTGAATCTTCACTTAAGTCAAGTCCAAACTACATTATACCAACATGAGATTATCCTTTCTCGCTATCTTCATACCACTCTGCAGTTTGTCCGCTGCCCAGTGCGCTCGGGACAACTGTCTCAGAGGTGAGTTGTGCCTACGCAGCCTCTAACATGTCAACCCATAGAAGGATGAGAAGAAAGCTGATAAAGGACAGCGATTGCTGCGTCTGCCTTTGGTCGGAGCGGAACGGCCGACTGCTCAAGGTACTTGGCAGTCACCGTTTTCGAGCCCGCGTAAGCCTCTCCCACCAGCATGTGAGCTCTACAGAACTTGGCTGATAATGGGTTTGTGATCAAGGACTGCAACTAAATTGGTGACACTACCAACCACCGTGCTCATCACCTCGACCCTTACCGTGGAGGCTGGCGCACTCCCATCCCTCGCAGCCACAACACCAAACAATGTCCCACAGCCCCCCAGTGTGTTGAAAAGACAAGTCTTGCCACCGCAGAGCATCCCCGTCTACGCGAGTGCATGCACATTATTTGCAAGATACTCTTCCGCCTGCTCCTGCCTCGGAGTCACAGCCCCAACCTTCACAGCTACCACCACTGCCGTGACCGAATCGAGGACCGTATTGAGCAGCATAGTTTCAACAGTCATCATCACCGCGGTCGTCGGCAATACTGCTCAACCCTATCGAGCATTCCCTCGAGAACAACAACCATGCCTTCCGGGGTCATCACTTCATCTTCTTCTTTTCAACTCAAATCTCTTCAGGCTCGTTGCCACTGGAGTCCGCTCCATCCTTGGATTCAACGTTGTCTTCCTCCTTTTCATCGCTCTTGACATCTCTGTCGTCTGTGTCGTCTCTCGATGCGTCATCTCCATCATCGGAAAACAGCACCTCAACATCCCCGCCCACAGACACCACCGGCGACGTCTCCTTTTCATCCACGCTTGAAATCTCCGGCACCCAAGTCGTTACCTCTTCATCTGCTGCCACGACCACCTCCAACATCGAGAGAACACTGTACAAGTTTACAATCATCCCGATTGCCGGCTTCATTGCCCCAGCACCAATATCATTGACTAACACTTAGTGTGCGGATCAATTATCAGACGAGAAGTATCAATAAAGATATATTACAAAGCTATGTGTTATTGAAGGCTCGCTGTACCAGTAAAAGGGACATAGCAGCTGCAAATAAAACAACTACCATACAAACATCCCAAAAGCGACTCCCGCAACAGCAGCACCCATCACAATCTTCCCTTGCGGCGCATCCCTCCAAGCAGCAGATTCACCTGTGGAGGAACTCACACTCCCCGTAGTCACAACTGAAGACGCACCCTCCGTCGTCGTCCCCGTAGCAGCTTCTATCGTTGCAGCTCCCGTTCCCGTCGTCGTGGCTCCCGTCACAGTCGCCGCAGCCTCGGAGCTTCCAGCAGTGGCAGTGATCGTCACAGTCTGCGTCGGATACGGCGATACCTTCGTGCTCAACTTGATCCCGCAAACCGCCTCGGTGTCGAAAGTAAACGGCATATTCCTCGCCTCGCATTCAGAGGTCTGGCGCTGGATCGAGTCTAAACCGGGTCAGTAATCGAACCAGTAACAATGCCGAAGCTAAGACTCACCGGGCAGGACCGAAGCATCGCACTTCTCAGACATGCAGCAAAAGTACCTCTCACGGTATTTCTGCTGCGTGCACATGCACGCAGCGTCGTTGGTACATGAGCCGCCGGGGAAACTTCTAAAGAAGCAGCCATTCTACGTATTAATTGTCGTTAGTTCCTTATCCAAGATTGAGCTCTGATGTGGAAGGGGGGACGACGCACATCACATTCCGCGTCGCGATTCTGCTTCTCCTGGTCAAAAGGCGTAGCGGCGACGAGAGTGCTGCCTATGAGGCCGAGCAAGACGATAGCCCCAAATTGCCGCATGGTGAATGTCTGATATAAACGAGCGAGGATAGCGAGTGACTGCTCGATGAAAATATTTATCCATCAAAACCAAAAATCATCTGGTCTCCGCCCCCCTTTTTAAGCCAAGATGTCGCGACAAAGGCAAATATTTCTCGTGTTGCTGTGCCGCTCAATGTCACCTAGCTTGTCCTGATTCAGGACTTTTGGTTCATGTTCAAGGGGTTTTGGGTGGTGAGGCCGAATCTGACCGCGTCGCTGGCGCGGGTAATCTTGGCATTGTTCTATAATTTAATTTCCTGCAGCGAATCGAGGATAAGCTTACTTGCTTAATGTCAACAACCCCTAGTCTTTAGGGCGAAAGGCGTGGCCAGAATTCGAGTCACATCGCTTCGGCGCAGCCAGGCTTCTTTACTCGGCCGGTTATGCCGTGATTGGTGTCGCTGCCTAGATACGATGAAGGAAATACGAGTTGTTCTAAGATACTCTGATGAGAAGTAGTCTGGAATCACGTCAGATTTGCTTGGTTTGCCGTTTTGAACTATCCGTCGTAGTGCAAAATCAATTGACTTAGGCATACAAGTTGGTCGACAGCAATGAGATCGTTCAAAATGGAGTTGGATGAAACATTTACAATATCGTAGGCTATTAGATGCTAGCCCTCGTAGAACTCAGCAAAATTTGCATGGTGAGTTCAGGTTTCATTGTTCACAGCGTCGACAGACTGTTTCGGCAAATGGGAATGTGGTTGGAATCTACATCAGATGCTGTAGTCAAAGACAAAACCAGTTCGTTGCGTGAATACCGAGGCCATGCAATGATTGAGAGCGAGCAGGCTTCACATATTGTCAATGAAGTTGCTGACCGTTCACAACGGCCTCTCTTTTATTGCGGCAAACTCGGTGATGGCCATTTCTGAGCAGCAATGGCCCGAGCCACATCCTCAAGGAAGCCCCGTCTCTCGAGTGTTTCCCGTCTTGAAACAAGTCGCCTGGTGAGGCGTTGGTGAAATTACCAGCGCCTGCGTAGCTCCCGTGCTTGCCGTTAGCCGGCGCAAACTCTCGGAAGACGGGACCCACCTCGAATCGGCCGCGATCACGGCACACATTGCCGTTAGTTCGCAGAAGACTTACGCGGCAGGCGGTCCCCGCGGAACAGCGGCTTGTCGCAAAAAGCCAATTCAGTTGCTCCGCCCCGTGGCTTGGCAGCCATTGGCGGCAGAACTCATTCTCCCGATGAGGGGACACGCGGCCGGGGTGAGCCCGTCGAGTATGAGCCCGAGTCCCTTAGGTATCTGCAACAGGGTCGTGTAGCAGGGCAATCCAAAACCTTGGACACCAACGGCGACGATTGCGAGCCAGGGGATGGCGGCAGTTATCAATGACGTAGGCCCTGGATGGCATGGGATTCCCTTCGATGTAGAAGGGACATGCCAGGGCACCCTTTGCAGCAGCCGGCTGGATCACGAGATGCAGGAAGCCGGACAGAATCACGTCGTGGATAGCAGACTTGAGTTGAACAGCATGATGGCTGTGAAACGTGCCCAGCTCGTCCCAAACGCCTCTCCTGTCGAGCAAGAGGCTTTAGCTTCTGGCGAGACTGCCCAATGATGGGATGATGGGACAATAACCTTGAATGGACCGCATCTTGGTTGAGGGCCGTCAAGATTCCCGCGCTTCGGTATCCGAGATGCAATTTTCTTCAGCAAGAGGAACTGATTCGCTACCGACATCCCAAGACACTGGAGCGTAGATCAGCTCCAGAACCTGGCACGGGACTGATGAATTGCTGTGCGATTGAGTTGAGTTGCACGTGTCGGCGAGACGCCCCGAGCCCCATCTGGGCGATGTGGATGACGTCTGAGCTTATCCGCGGCTCAACCAGAGGCTGATGCTGGATTTCAAGCCACACTCAGGGCAGACGGTTTGCACCTTTGGCTGGTGGGTAGCTGCGCCGAATCTGTGAACGAAAGCAGCGGGAGTGATCAGTTCAGTGTTCTCATCTACGAAGTGGTGCCGTACCCCAGAGTTCGAACTCGGCGACCGCAAGCCAAGACGGCGAGTCAAGCGAGGAGCCGGCAGTGTGGGGGATGAGCAGGAATTGCGTGTCTTCATTTGCAGGTTGTACGCGTCAAGCTTTTGCTATCCACAATCGGCACTCGATTTCGCAGGAAACAACCAGCCAGATGCGCGGGCTGCATCACACCGGGATCCAGTAATTATCCGTAGTGGTGTACAATGCGCTCTGTAGGTACTTGTCCAAGGGATATTACCTTCAGAAGTTTGGCAGGTGCGTATTGCCATCAATTCCCGCGTATTTGTCGCGCAGCCGTGGGGTCAGCCACTGGCCAGTGTGCCAGTGGCCTGGCGTGTTCCGTGTGGATGCTGCTGACATCTGGTTCGGAGTTGTGAGATTGACGGGAAGCTTGACCTGCGAAAGCCGGGATATTGATCCATAGACCCTTTTTTCCCCCCTTACATGAAAAGGCTTGTTTATGCTTACTTCGTATTGAAAAATCAGAGCAGCAGATACTGGCCGGACATCGCATCGAGGTTTCAACATTTGCGAATGTGCCCGAGAGCCGACATTCTGCAACGCCAAGACGGCTGGATGCCGGCCAGAAACAATAGCTGCTGTCGTCAGAAAGGCTGTCTAGTGGCGGGCGGCCTGTCACCCTCTGCTCAGCGTTAGAGGAATGGGTCCCGTTCCAGCAACAAGATTCGCACAAGGCACGTCTCCTCCACCGTTGGAGAGGGGAGGGAAACGGAGATGGGCAAGCACCGACATCCCGGTAGGTGCGGACATGGGTGTGGATGACCTGGAGTTTGGAGGGCAGCGTTAAGCCCCCAAAAGCAAGTGACCTCGTGTGGCTGGTGCGGATCCAGGGGAACGAGTGAGAGAGGTCGCGTGCTGTTAATCAGCGCCCCATTCATGCTCGGATTGAGAGACTCATGACTGGCTGACTGCTCGGTTTGTCGAGGGAAGCTGTTTGGCCATTTGAGAGCGCACTTTGTATTGCAAGCGGATTGCTCTCAGCAGCTGTAGACTTGATCGCTCAACTAGTTTACGCCTCCTGCAGAAGCGCAGCGCCGGACTTGTAGGGCGCCGTTTTGCAGTGCGTCGCCAGCTTGAGTCGTAGGTCGTTTGGCCCGACAACTCGCAACCGCCAAGATGTCCGACAGCCATTGGTTGCTTGCCGGGCATGACCACCAGTTCGAATGCGTTGGACGCTGTGCGGGACGAGAACTGGTGGTCGTGAACAGCTTAGCTCGCGTCTGTGCCTCCAACCACCACAACTTGTGGATGTCAGTTGACAATGCCGATCTTCGACAATGGTGGTCGCCGGTAGCATTTCAGGTTGTGGTGAAGATGGTCGCATTTCGCAGGGAGACATGTTCGGGATGAGTGGGCTTAGCAAGCGCAGGAGCAGCTCCTCATCTTGGCGGAAGCCTGGTCCACCACAACCGTCACACGCAGCGGAGTCGAGTCAACAAAACTCGAATTCGATCTGATAAACCGTACATACTCGTAGTGGGATGAGGCTCCAGGCTAGTAACTACTCCAACTTGGGCTTGAGAAGCTCTCCGTGCGGATGGTCGAAACGGAGTAGCGGAAATAAGGCGAGCGGAATATCGTCGATGGAAATTTGCAAGCGGTCGCCAGGGCAGGGCCGGGCGCATTGGCATTGAATTTCGGAAGAGCCAAGCGGCTAGGGAGCGAGAGGATCCACCGCCGGGATTGAGGTTTCTTCAGCGAGCTGGCGAGGTGTTGCATTGCGGGCATGGCCGACGGCGGCACCGCTTCTTAGCTTGCACCGGAGCCAAATGAGGCATCGGGTTTTCGACCAGGGCGTTGAGATTAGATGGGCAGACTGGCAATGCAGAGTGATATCATCAACATCTTGAGTATGCCTCTGTTGTCGTGATATTTTGGGCGATTGAAAGTCATCTGGAGAACTGTAGTCTGCGAAGACGGGACCAGGAGAGTTTGGTAGCGTCGGTGGCGGCCAACAAGGTTGGATAGGTTGGCTTTAGTGTGTTAGGGTCGATTTGGGGGCGAGGATGACGGGAGCCTTCAGCAGGGTATTCCGGGGCAAGAGCGAGATGCCCGTAGGTACTTCGTATGGATGGCGGGAGGAGGCGGTGGTAGTGATGGTGGTGGTGGTGGTGGTGGTTGGTGGGAAGAGGAGGGGGAGGCGCATGTTCCCCGGAAGCAACAAGCACATATGTACCTAAGCTCACGACATATGACGGCGACGCATTGCAGAAGCTTGACGCTGGGTACGGCAACCACGTTGGACGGCAAGGTGTCGTTCTGGACGGTGATTGGGGGCGAGGTGTTGGTCGGGGTCTGGCCGAGTGACTTTTGTGGCCGGGAAGGCCTGGCTCCGAAACGACAGAGGTCGTGATAAAAATATCAAGAATAGAAATAAAGGTCAGAGTTAGAGTAGAGTTGCCATTCCTCCATTGCTTAAGGTAAGGCGGCGGGACACGTTTGGCGGCAAAACGGAAGCGACAGAGAAAGAGAAGGAGAAAGAGTCGTCAGAGTCAAATGGCTGAGCGAGGTGAGATGCGCCTGGCGCAGGGACGGGAAGGAGCTAAAACAGGCTGGTTCATTGCAAGTGCGAGGAAGCCGCGTGTCGCTCTGGGGTCTGAGATGGAAGGAAGGAGGGAGCAGTGAGGCAGGTAAAGTAAGGTAGGTAGGCGCAAATGGAAAGAACAAGTACCTTTCTCGACAGCAACTGCGAGTCTGTGACTGATGAAGGCAGGGACGCCTTCTACGCCATGCTTGCTGTTTAGACGACTTCTTGCCATTCCACAGCCTGGTTGATGAGCAGTCTGGCACGAGCAGGCGCACCGGAAGGCGTACCTTGCTGCATCATCAACAGAGACGGAAGAGAGAAAGAGGGTTCTGCTGTGTTGGCTTCCTTCCTCCCACCTTCCACCTTCCACCGTCACGACTCACGACGAGATGCAGCGCATTGGGGAGGAACGTGGGCCGTGCTGCCGAGTTCGCACAGG